TTCATTTTTATTGAATAATAGCCTCTTTCCAGGAGTGTTCTTGAGCATGTACTCCATAAGATTACTCATATATTGCCATATTGGCTCACCATATTCACAGCAAACCCAATATTTTGACGGGTGTAGGAGAGGTATATAAGCTTTCCTATCATACGTTGATGTCTTCCTTTATCTATTGGAACCTCCTCTTTTTCTATCCCAAGTTTCTTCTTAGAATCCCAAGGTGTATTGGTTGGTCTGCATCCCAACAGGCTGGTCTCCTTTAGTAGGTCTAATGTATACTTGTGTCAGGAAACGAATATACATTTGCTTGATCGAGCTACCTCCATACCAAGGAAGTATCTAAGTGATCCTAGATGTTAACTTCAAACTCCTTGGACAATGCTTGTTTGATCTTCATTATTTCATCTACATCATTTCCAGTAAGGATGATGTCATCCACATATACAATTAGTACTGTTACCTTATTTCTTTTTGATTGCTTCACAAACAAGGTATGATCTGTCTGGCATTGTTAAAATCTTGACCTTTTACATATTTTAAGAATATTTCAAATCATACTTTAGGAGACTACTTTAATCTATACAATGATTTCAACAGTTTACACACTTTGTCCCATGCATAAGACTTCTGAATTCCCATTGAAATCTCCATGTAAACATCTTCTTTCAGGTTCCATTCAAGAATGCATTCTTGATATCTAGTTGATGTAGGGGCCAATCTAAATTTGCTGCTAAGGAAAGAAGAATCCTGATGGTGTTGAACTTTGCAACATGAGCAAAAGTTTCCTAATAGTCTATTCCATAAGACTGAGTGAATCCTCTTTTAACCAGTCTAGCTTTCTGCCTCTTAACACTACTATCCTCCTTATGCTTTATGGTGAATACCCATTTGCAGGTCACAACTTTCTTTTATGGTGTGAGATTCGTAATTACCCATGTTTGATTTTTTCCAAAGTCATAATTTCTTCTTTAACAACTTGTCTCCATCTTGGGTGATTCAAAGCTTCTTGAATATTGGTCGGAATCTGCACATCATCCAACTTGGAAAGGAATACTTGATAAGTGTCTAATAATCTACTATGTGAGAGAGTTTTCGATTGGATGCTTGGTGCATGATTCTTTCTGGCCATTTAATGACTTTATCTCCTTTTAAACTTCATTTTTCTTCTCTGTATGAATCTCTACAGTCGTTGGATCCATTGAAGGAGATTTGGCAGGTGCAAGATGTGTCTTGCTCTGCATATGTTGATTTTTTTTCTTTTTCCTTGAGTAATACATATTGTTGTTCCTTAATTGTTGCTCTTTGTAGGGATTAATTAGGACTTATGGGTGAAGGTAATAGGTCTGAAGGTGGACTGTGGAGGTTAAGACATAGTAGATATATCTTGGGAAATACTCGTAGTTTGGATTTCTTATGATATTTGTTGATTTTGATTGGACTCTATTTGGTTGTATAATAAGGAATTCCACTCCCAAGTTTAAAATTCTTCTTCGCTCTCCCGCTGAATTTCAGAACTAGTGAAGTATGGATTGTTTTAAAAAAAGGTGCATCCATTGTTTCAAATACCTTCCTAGAAGTAAGACAAAAGCATTTGTAACGTCTTTTTGTCGGGTAATAGCTAATAAAGACGCATTTTTTTTAATCTTGGGTCAAGTTTGCTCCTATCTTGTGAATAGATATAAACAAAGGCAGAGCACCCAAAAATTTTAGGTGAAAGATTTGATGATATGAATCGAGCATGAGGATAGACTTTGGGTAGAGTTTGTCAAGGTGTTTCAAATTTTAGTACCTGAGTAGGTAACCTATTTATTAGGTATGCAGCTGTAAGAATGACTTCCCCCCATAGATATTATGGTACTTTTGTGATCTGGCAACTTTCAGGAGGTGCCTATTTTTCCCCTTAGCTATCCCATTTTGTTGAGGCGTATACGCACATGAACTCACTTGGATTATCCCTTGGCTTGATAGATATTCCCTCATGATAGAATGAAAGTATTCTCTCCCATTTTCTGGCTTTAAGATTTGAATTTTTGTATCAAACTAGTTTTGAATAATTAGTTGAAATGATTTGAATATCCTTTCAACTTCAAAATTTTCCTTCATTAAATAAACCCAAGTGAGTCTAGTATGATCATCAACAAATATCACAAATCACCTTGCACCACTTATATTTTAAACTTTTGATGGTCTCTAAATATCACTATGGATCAAGGCAAAGGATTTAGAAGGCTGTTAATGAGAAATTGGGTAAGATAATATGGTGTGTTTTGTCAATTGGCAAGTTTCACCTTTGAACAAACTTGGATTTTTATTAATAAATAAATGGGGAAAAAGCTTTTCAAGATACATGAAATTTGGATAACCTAACCTATAATGCCACATGATAATCTTTCTCTCTTGACTGACTCTAGAAAGATTCTCAACAAACTGACTCGCAATAGGATGATTCTTAGCAGCAATTAAGGATTTGGGTGTCTTGATGTAGTATAACTTACAACACATCTCAGCACTTACAATCTTCTTCTCCGAATCTAGTTCCCGAAAAATACATATATTATTGGAGAAAATTGTTAAGCATTTATCATCAGGAGTCAATTTACTAATGGAAATCAGATTGCACTCAAAATTGGGCACATAAAGCATCGATTTAAGGGTGATAGTTTATGTGACAAAAGCGAAACTAGTTCCCAAATCATCAACTTTAACTACTCGATTTAAATGATAAGTTTGATAGTCATGAAAGAAGTGTAATGTCTCCTGTCATGTGATGCTTCTGAGTCAATAACCCAAAGTTTTGACTGTTTTATACCTGATTGAGCGTGTAGGCTGGTAGCAGCAGGTTTTGGATACTGTTGTTTCGTGACGTTGTTAAGCAGTAACTTCAGCATCTCTAAATGCTCCTTGGTTAAAGGAATGGCTTCAGCTTTGATGGATTGATCTTGCGTGATGTTGACAGAGTTCACTTTGCTTTATTGTGCTGATTTGTTTGCCTTCCAATCAGTTGATTTTTCATGAATCTTCATGTCTCCTTTGTATGTCCTGATTTGACACAACGATCATACCATAGTCTTCCCCCTTTTTTTGATATCGATTTTCAACATGTGGGGGGTTTCGATTGCTGGTTTCGATTTCAGCCGCCGTTGGTCCTAAGATGATGCTCTGATATCAATTTGATAGGAAATACTTGAGTTCGCAAGCAAACCTATCACTAATTGGAGAAAACAGCGAGAATAATGCAAAATCAGCCTCAAAACAATGGATTGCAATAAGAGAACCAAAGCCAAACAGACACGATAACAAGATACAAATGATCCTCAATTCTAGAGGAGGATCAATATCTCCCAATCTCTAGATGATGAGTCTAGTGACTAGGATGCCAAAAAAACTTCAAGAGAAAACAAACCAAAGCATAAACCTAACCCTAAAACAAATCCTCCTATTAATACAATTAATTTCCTAATTCAAACCTCCCTCATTCAAATTTTTCCTCTCACCCTAGCCGCCCAACCCTCCTTCCTCAATTGCTTCAAGTGGGGCCCACACAAGTGGGCGGCAGATCAAAGGGGGCGGACCCCTTTTCGCCTCCTGTAGAATTGGGCCGGCTCCTGAGCTGGTTCAGGGTGAACCAGCCTATCATATTTGTCTCTTATGACAACTATTAGCAATAGGGGTTTGGCATAATCATAAGTGGAGAAATGATCCCGATCATTGATCTCTGACAACATGGGGTCTCAATTATTATTTGCATTCTCTTTCTTTTTTAGGTTATTTGAATAGAGACGAAGTGATTTGTCTAGGGCTCTCTTCAGTAGTTGGCGCAACCTTTGCTTTGATTTTGGGTTATAAGTCTCATTCTTAATAATAACATTTGTCATATCTTGCATTTACATAGAGACTTGGAATCATGGATTTAAATGCGTTTAAGTGGGTTTAAATGACTGTCATTTCTAGGCACGATAGTAAGTCCATGTCATGGGCTTTTTTAGCCTCGTGTGGGGCTTGAATTGTAATCCCCATCTTCCGTTTGCATTATATTAGGTAGAGGGTTATATCATAAGGGTATATTAAGTCCCTACTATAGATTTAAGTTTGAGGCTAGCATCATGTTATAGGGTTATATCATAAGGGTATATTAAGTCCCTACTATAGATTTAAGTTTGAGGCTAGCATCATGTTATGATGTATTAGTTCTCTTCCGGGCAGTCTCCAAATGTTATAATTACCTTTGTGGCAGGATAGTAAGCCCCCACTTTTTATAAAAATAATTAATTTTAACATAGAATTAATGAAGGATCATTTTTTTAAAGTATAAAGTCAATATTGGTTTATGTTTTTTTAGGTATCTTGAGCATCTCAAGCTTATGCATCCTCAGTATTATTTTTCTTTGGAATGCTAATCTTTTATATATTTTTGAGTGATCCCTTCTTCACATTCAAAGAATACAACTTCTCTTATTATCTTTGATATTCTTATGACATGATCATGGTTTTAATCAAGAGATTTCTTAGGGCCTAAAAGCCTTATGATATAATTAACCATAGGAGCTTGCTCATATGGGAAATTAGACCCCAGAATTAAATGCTTGGTTAAGATAATATTTGTAATATTACAATATTGATCTTGAATTTTTTTTCTTGTATATACTGTTGACGGATCATAACTCATTTATTCTAAAAATGCTTGGTTAAGATAATATTTTTTAATTGATTATGAAAATGACATCTATTTAAGGGACAGCAATTTAATTCTCTTTCGCTTGCCTGGATGTTTGTTTCTCGCTACATTTTGCTCAATTATCGTTTGGGCCTTCTTTCTGCAATGTGATTAATTTATTGCATGCGTCCTTGCTGGATTGCTTCCTTCTAGTTCTGACGTCATTTTTCATCATACAATTTTTTTATTGTGAGAAATATACTTATTCTTTAATTAATAATTCTGTTGGGGATTGTTTGAATTGTTTTGTTGAGATGAATTCAATCTTAGCTTCCTATCTCAGGTAAAGTAGCTGTAGAAGGGAAAACATTTGCTGACAAGAAGTCTTCTAAAGATTATGCTTCCCAAGAGGAGGGTGAAGTTCAAGAAAACGGGGAAGCTAGGCAACATAATGATGATTTGGATACCCAAGTTGACAGACCCATAAATCAGCATCACATTTCTGATGAGAAATCAATTGGATCCAGGTTTTGCCTCTTAAGAATTGTCTTTTTAGAATTTATGTAATTGGCTTGTGCATTTCATCTGTAACGTATGTTATAACCTTTGCTTGTTCTTTCATGTAAAGGGGGCTGCACAAGAAATCTGGAGGTGGTATGAGTCCTAGTAGTGGTCCAAGTGGGAGCCTACAGTTGGATGGTTCTGCCAGAAGTCCAGAAAGAGAGCCCATCAGGCAATATCAGCTGTCAACTAAAGCCTCAGAGCCTGCACCAACTGAAACACAAAATATTACCAAAGTTTCTCAAGATGGTGGTTCTCAACGCATAAGAAAAGGACGAGGATTTACTAAGGAATATTCATTTGCTCGTCGGTATAGGACACCATCACCGGTACGTTCGCCTGTTCGTCCTTCCCAATATAAGGGAAGAAATGATCTAGGAAGAGATGTCGATAGGTAAGTGTTATTTATGAAGAGACTTAGAGAGATTATGTATCGAAAGAATTATAAATATTTAATTTACTTGAATCCTCCACAGGAATGGAAGGTTCAGGAATTACCGGGAGTGGTCACCACCAAGGCGTTCACGAAGATCTCCAAGCAGGAGTCCTGACAGGTTGTCTTCTTTTTTCACTCTTGCTCATATGTTGTTGGTTGATACCTAGGTATGGTGCTATTTTTAAGGCTCATTTGTTGGAAATGTTTATAATTTATTCTATATTTGGAATGCTAATAATAGAAATATAGTTATAGTAGGGTGATTGGCTGATTGCTAATATATATTATTGATGAGGGTATGATGAATTTGATTAGTACTTTTAGTCATGGTTTATTAAAAAAATTTAAAAAAAAAATTCAAATTTGAAAAAATTGATGGATACTATAGCATATATTTGAGGAGCAACAGAAATAGTCGCTGCTTAAAAAGGATATTTAGTTTTTAGTAAGAAGAGTTATATGAGTGGATGGATGGTGGGTATCTTGTAAGGGATAGAAATGTGATGTCAATGCTGAACATAAATAAGTAAGAAAATCACTTATTTGCTTTTATAAGTGGAGCTGCTGAATTGCAGATGGACTATTTGGGCATAAAGTATAGAAAATTCATTCTTCAAAGATTTTAAGACGATGCTATGAGAATTTTAATCATATAATTTAAAATAGTAATGATTCATTCATTTCTTAGAAGCAATAAAAAAAAAATCTAAAGATGGTGGAATTAAGAACAAGTGTAGTTTTTGATCTTTTAGACTGGTTGTTTAGAGAGGGAATTTGGAACTTATCTAACCAAATTTGATTTAATTAATAGCTAGTAGCATTAAGAAAATTATCATGGAAGTCTCAGATGTGTTTGTTTCAATGAATGTAAATCATCAAATTATTAGTTCCCGTGATGACTTGTAGAAAAAAGTATTTTGATTTTTTTTTGTTTGATTCTATATAAAATATGTAGAAGTATTTATAGAATTATCTAAAAGACTTATAATAGAAATGAATCAAAACTATTTAAAAAAGAAAAAAATAATCCCCAAGGGGGCCAACGGCTAGAATGGTAAGAGAAGGTTCACGGATTGCAATTGAAGGACCATAAGAGGATTGATCTATTGGTTATAACATTTAGTCGGTGTGCTCAATGTTCTTTATCAAGATTGATTGACTTGTGGGTCCCACGATCCTTCAACATATTCTTTAAAGATGAAGTGATACTTAAGTTTAATATATTGATTAATTTTATGAAGACCGGTGATGTAAATAAAGACAAATTTTGGAATTAAAATTGGGCAGTTTAAATGAATAAGTGCTTTAAGAGCACCATTTGATGAGAGAACATGGATCTGAATGTTTAGTAACATGTAAAAAAACTCATAATAGCCTAATTGAATTTGTTTAAAATGAGAATGTAAAATGGTTAAAGGTGTGTGGATAACTAAGCATCTAAGTTGTGGATGAATTTTCATCAACCTAAAAGCCTAAACTAATAGCTAAGTTTAACTACTAGTTTATTTAGAATTTATCTCTTCTTTCATTTTGTGTGTTGGACTATTCTCTACTCTTGTGCATGCTAGCAATCATCTCCTCACAAGAAGGTCATTCACATCAACTATCACTGCTCATTAAATGATATCTATTCAACACCATCACAAGAACCGACTCAACCGTGTGGAGCTCACTTGAGAATCAAATACTCTTAAACATTGTTCGAAAATACTCAAACCATCTAACTTTGATAGAACTTATTATTTGGGTATATTACTTATGAATCTTTAATGGAAGTTGAGTGTAATATACTTATGAATGGACACCATCAATTTAAAGTTTTAGCTAATAGTTGATGATCAATAGTCAACATTGGTATATTAAAAGCTTCGTTTGAGATGGCTTTTTTACTGCATCTTAAAACATATTTCTAGTACAAAAAGTAAATTTTTTTATTCTAGAAAGCTGTTTTAAGAAGCAGTAAAAAAGCTATCCCAAACAAAGCCTAAGTGTCTTAACTTTTGTTTCAATTTTAATGTGAATCTATTTGCCATGTTTATGTACATCTTCGTAGGATGTGTGTCAAACTTAGGATTAATAGAGAAAAATAGTTATATTAGAGGGATGATGAGGGTAACACTTTTTAAAGGTAAATATATTAAAAGGTTGACCTACGTAGCTTGCACATATGCAAGGTAGGATATGAGAATATACTTTAATTGATGTGATAGGATTTATTTAGAAATAAAAAAGTAGCTTGATTAGAAGCTGTGCAAAACAATTTGCACGATATAAAGTTAGCTCTTTTGGAATATTGATGAAGAATCACCACTGCATATTTCTAGAAGCCTTGAAGTTGGACAAAGGAAGCAACAAGAAATAAGGGACAAAGGTCACATAACCTAAGAAGGGGAAGAAGCCATGCAAAATAACATTTGTTTTCATTCTGGATATACCTGAGATCTCTATTTATAATTAAAGATTTTAAAGATAAGACAAAATAATCCTATATTGATAATCATAAATTGATTATTTTGCTTATGGATATGAAACTAAAGACAATCAGGATTAAACTTCTAAGCAAAAAAATATGAAATGATAACACCGTAAAAATATTATTCACTAACGCATGATTCATGATTGTTTTCCATCAATCCTCCCCGGGGTGCAAATAATTCAACTCTAGAGAGCTTGATTCTTGTTGGAAGAACTGAATGCTATGTTGCTATAGGTACCCATCCTTTGTATTAATCAAGTCATTTAAGTGTAACCGTCATCTTAATTAGTTAAAACCAGGGCTAAATTGCCCATTATAGTTGTGCCACATAAGCACTGCATATTTTTCTCCTTAATTTCTCTTTAGAAATTGCCTCTACTCCCCTTATTTTCTTGTCCTCTCATTTTTTCAAGTGTTTGATTCCCCTCGATTTTGTGCCTGATAAAAGATATCTACATAAGTGTTTCATGATACTCTCAGAAGATTCAATAAATTTTTTAAAGCTTCTAATGAACCTTTTGGAAACCTTGCCAAATCTTATTAAACATTTATGGAAAAGTGATAGGAAATACTTGAGTTCGCAAGTAGCCCCAAGGGAAATACTTGAGCTCGTAAGCAAACCTATCACTAATTGGTGAAAACAGCGAGAATAATGCAAAAATCTGGGTGAAATCAACCCCAAAACGATGGATTGCAATAAGGGAATCAAACCCAAACAAACACAAAACATGATACAAGTGATCCTCAATTCGAGAGGAGGATCATTCTCTCCCAATCTCTAGACAAGAAGTCTAGATCTGATGCAACCAAAAAAATACAACAAATGAACACAAACTATGATTGCATAATAAAAAGACTTGTCTTCCTTCAAAATGACAAAACACACACTAAATAGGATACAATAAAGCTTCTAACTACTCTTAGAAGCCACCTCAAATTACATTAAGACAAGACACGATGCAACTACCTTGCAACTTATAATTTTTAAAGAGAAGAAGGATACAGTTGGGGCGGGAACCGTGGATAGAGAAGGAGGAGGTAGAAGACTGAGATTAAATTTTAGAGGGGAAGGGGAAGGAGGCTAGCTCGCAAGCTAGTGAAAACCCATAGGTTTACTTTACAAAAAATTATCACATATCCTTCCTAAAACAACCACAAAACAATCCCATTTATAGGGGAAAAAAGGAAAAAAAAAGATAATTAATACATGTAGTTAATGCACCTCCCAAATAGTCAATATGAACACCTAGAAAACTGCAGTGAACATGGACCAAAGGGACAACCGTTAAGGGGAAAAAACAAAGCATCCACATAGCGTAAAGTGGCGGGAAAATCAAAACAACAACACATCTGCCGAGGGGGAAACCGAAGCACCAAGTGGGGAAATCGAAGCATCCAGATAGTAGCCAAGGGACAACTTGATTGCATCAATTCTCCCTTGGTGGAGAATTCTCATCTCCTGATGAGATTGTCTGAATAGAAGGATGACTTTCACCCTCTGTAGATTCCTTTGCATCTTGACATGGAACTTCGGTTTGTTGAGTGTTTAGCTTTCCATCCATGACCTACAACTTAAAGCTCTGATACCAAAATGATGTAACAAAAAAATACACAGTTTAAGATTGCAAACTAAGAGTCTTCCTTACTATAAACATAGACAAACACATGTATAATATTATAATACTAGAACACAACAACTTACAATTTATATATTAAGAAAAGAAAGATACAAATGGGGCGGGAACCGTGGATAGAGAAGAAAAGGTAGAAGACTGAGTCGAAATAGTAGAGGGCAAGGGGAAAGGAGGCTAGCTCGCAAGCTAGAACAAACCTGCAGGTTTACATATCAAAAAATCATCACATATCCTTCCTAAAACAACCACAAAACAACACCATTTATAGGGGAAAAAAGAAAAAAAGACAATTAATACATGTAGTTAATGTACTTCCCAAATAGCCAATAGGAACACCTAGAAAACTGCAGCAAACAGGTCCTAAAGGGACAGTTGCTAAGGGGGAAAAACGAAGCATCCACATAACATAAAGTGGGGGGAAAACCGAAGCAACAGCATAACTGCCAAGGAGGGGAAAATCGGAGCACCAAGGGTGGAAAACCGAAGCATCCAGATAGCAGTCATTGGACAACTTGATTGCATCAAGAGCCCAAGAGGCCAAGATGGCAAGGAACATCAAGAGAAACAAATCAAAGCATAACCGTAACCCTAATTCCTCCCTCCTATTTAATACATAAACTTTCTAAATCAAAATTCCTTCCCAATCCCTAGCTGCCCCCTCCTTTACCCTTTTAGATTTGTTTTTGAATAGTGGGACCCACTATGTTGGGCGACAAAGTGGGGGAGGAGGCGGTATTAGCCCGCCTCCTATAAACAAAAACCGGCCCTAGTTGGGCCGGTTCAAGAGGAACCGTCCTAACAAAAAGCTTCCTGAAACTTTCAGAAGGATTTTGCAACTTTTCAAATTACTTTAAAAAATATTTGAGGATATAAAGAGTAGGTTCCATCATTAAATTCTTATCATAATAGGGTCTGGCATGGATTACCATCTATGATATCGAAAATGACATTTAACTTCTCTCTCTTTTTTTTTTTTGAGAATAATAGCTTATTGGAGCCATCAATTGT